AGTTGCCCACAAAAGTAGTTGTTTTGTACTTTAAATAAGAGAAAATTATCAGACATGATTAAAAAAAAAGTGAGGCATGATTATTTATTAGAAATGTTATTATGACAAAAAGGAAAAGAACATTTTATGATTAACTATTGCTCTCGTCAAAATATCCTCCTTTAGCCTGGATTACTGCAGCACAAATCTTTGGCATTCGTTGCAAAAGTTTCTCAAAGTATAAATTTGATAATTGATTCCATTCTTTTTCCAGGGACTCTAAGAGCTCATGTTCATTTCTTTTTCACCCTTCTGTCAAGTTTCTCCCATCCTAATTTTTGAAATGTAGTGTACATATACGCCTCAACCGTTAGCCTCGATCGCAAGGAAACCTATTTAAGTTTTAAGCTTGAATAAATAATTGACTTAAACACGTTTTAAGCTTGAATAAATAATTGACTTAAACACGTATTAAGACACATTTACAAAAGCAACTTTAAATTATAAGACTTAAGACCCAAGAGCCACTCAAGGTAGAAGGTTAGTGTGGTGTTGTATTAACATAAGACCAATAAGTGATTTTTTTTTGGGGGGGGGGCTATGCAGGAAAGATAACAGCTAATTTTAGACTCGAAGAGGTCAATTAGTTGAATTAATGAATAACATTTCAGAGTTCAGCCGAAGACGTTGAGAACTATAGAATGGAAGTAGACTTTGGAGGAAACCGGAAACCCAGTCCTAAACAGGAAACAAGGGATAAATCTCTGCTCCTGTTCAAAAGACTGGGGAGGAGTGTGAACCGGGCGACAGGCGGACCTATTTACATCTATTGGAAGAGAAAGAAGTAGAAAATAAGTAGTGAATAAAATTTCAGAATTCAGACGGTGACGTTAGATGTATAAATTTGAACGAGGAAGGGGTGTGAACTGGACAATAAGAGAACGTGTTTACTCCTAATGGGATATGAATCCTTTTAATGTAATCACTTTGATAACGCGGAGGATACTGAATATTTTATTTCACGTTTTATTGTTTTAATCCTTTCGCTCCAAGCAAGGTAATAAAGCCACTAAGACGCAACGGGTTTCCTGAATGTGGAAAAATATGAATATATGAAAAGTATTATTAAAATAATATTAATAATATTAAATTAATAAAACCTTATTACGGAGAGAGAACAATTAAAGAACGGGAATTAAGAAGACAAGATCAAAGTTGAATAATACGAGAGAAGAAACTGTTAGCATAGAACAGATACATCTAGTAATATCAACTGTAAAATAATGAGACCCAACTGCCAATCTAGTACTGCGTTAATTTGGGGTACAAAAGAGGAAAGCTCATCAGAACAATTACTATGAAAAGTTTTATAGAAAAGGCACAGGGAAACCACGTTACGGCGGTTGGGAAGTGACTGAAGCTGGGATGCTTGGCCATGACCAATAATATTGCAGATTCTTCTTTCGATTTGATCAAGAATCTCTAAATACATAGCAGGAACACCATATATACTTTATGAAGTCAAAAGTAAGCTCACGTTTAAGAATACATACCAGAATCAATTTAAGAATATTTTTTACCTGAATTAACTTTTTTTTATTTTATATCCCTTTAGGACGTAGATTGTTTCATTTGCTTTCTCATATATAAGCTGCTATAACTTTTTGGAAAAGATAATGGAATGCTTTCTCGTTGCCTTCTCCATGGTTTTGAATTCAAAATATGCATTTTTTGACTGGTTAGCGCAATCTACCTTGCTATTTAACCTAGAGAGAGAGAAGAGTGAACGCTACAAATTCAAATGAAATTTCATTTTGAGCGTCAGTAGCCGCTACCCTACACTCCGCCTAAATGAAATAAAATCAAGGAGAAATCTTTAAAACTAATAAGCTACATTAATTTTATAAATATTAAAAACCAACTTTTGTAAGTGTCCCGTTATCATCTTCTATGTTCCGTGTCCTTTCAAGACTCTGGCGATTATAGCTCTCCATAACTTCCTATCATCTGTAGCTCTTAGTAGATTTGCCTTTTCACCATCACTCCAAATTCCTTTTCTGACAACCATCTAAACAAGTTTGTAGGGTAACCTTCACGAAGTTTCCTGTGTCCTCCTGGTCTGTGAGTATCCAATTCCCCAAGCACTCTTTTCTCATTATGTGTCCGAGAAGTATTAACTATCAGTTTCTGATTCGAAATATAAGCATCCTTTTTGTTTCAATTTTCCCTAAACCTCCTTGATACTCACATTTTCAGTGTATGGTATCCTCAGCATCCTTATGTAGAACGGCATTTCTGTTACCTCATGTATGCCCTTCATCTATGTGGAAATTGTTCAGTATTCACTGACATATATATTGAATAACAATTCAACACATTTTTTGCCGTTTCTTACAAAATTTTAATATTTTGCCATCTTTTGGAAAGTGTAACAAGGCACTGACCCTGTTTAAAAGTTTAATTGCATAAAATTGTAGGATGGTGTTTTGGAGGGGCTACTAATTGGATATTAATTATTAAAATTCTCAGGTGAGTAGGTTGAATGGCTGAGAAAGAATGACAAAGGAATAGGTTAAAAATTGTTTTAAAACAATAAAATGAATTTAAGAATGGTCCCAACGAGAATCGAACACAGAATTAACAAGCCAAGATTCAGTAAAAATTGAGCAAAACCAATTTAGCCTACACTATCCACTTCCCACCTATAAGAAAAAGATTTTATTAATGTGTTGTCTGATTTTTTATTCATGAGAAATTAAATTCGAGGGTTTGTTTACATTATAGTATATGTCTAAAACCTGAGATGGATGGATAGATAGATAGAGAGAGAGAGAGAGAGAGAGAGAGAAATAGATGGGACATAGGGACAGAGGCAGAGCGTATAAGGAGGGAGGAAAAGAGAAATTGGTTTAAAAAGTAAAGAGAGAAATAATGGCGGAGAATACGAAAGAGAGTGATCTAACATGGCACTGACCCTGTTTAAACGTTTAATTACATGAAATTGTAGAATGGTGATTTGGAGGGACTACTAACAGGATATTAATTATCAAAATTCTCAGAGAGAACAGGAAATTTTAAAGACAAAATCGAAGGCCATGTTGATATTAACAGACCTTCTAAAATTAAGATGACCGGGTGGAGAAATTGGATATATCAATGTCAAATTTAGTGCGGTCGTCTATATAAGCGAAACACACGGAGACGATCCCAGGAGGAAGTCGGCTTGCAGTGCCCGGTGTTGCTTCGTAGACAGCTGTTACTAAAGAACATATCAACAATTCCCGTAGCCGGAGCGAAAACACACATACACGCATGACAGAAGAATTGCCTGAGATTCGATTGGTTAGCTATTACTTCAGCGCTTGCGACTAGATTTCTCAAATCACCCTCCGACAGTAGAGAACTTGATTTTGCGTTGAATAATAGAGACATTTTATTCACCAGTTTATCTTAAATATTCAGTAGACTTGTTATAGCTGTGTCGTGCCTTTTATTGAAGGAGTTCTTAATCCAGACCTGATTATCAAGTCGCAAAGAGACTAAAGTTACTACGGCTGTAAGTTGAAAATTATTCCTTTTTAACTACAATATACAACGTACATAGATGGGTCACACTGGACTTTGCTGTCAGTCCCAATGTCGTTAGTATTAGGAAAAGCTAAATTTCTTTCCCCTATAAAAGACGATAACTCAAAATACAATTGAGTTACTTCCCTTGTCTGGAAGATGAGCGCGACACTTCTGAATTAAATATAGTGTCAAACGCACGTGGAATCCATGGTTTCAATCCAAAGATGTCTTTGCCGTTCTCAGACAGTAAATAAATGAAAGTAGTTGTCTTTTATTTCCATTCATTTTTGTTCATCCCAACAGCCTGGGAGTAAAATTTCAGTAATATTTTGAAAAACCCGTAACAACCCTATCGAGACGACACACCGGTCCCAACAGAGGAGGGAAAAGAGAGCTGGATGGCCCGTAAGGGTGACATTACTAAAAAAAAAAATAAATAAATAACGGAGCTAGCGACAGAGGAAGAAAAGGAGAGAAAGTGGGAGTAGAGGATGTGAGAGGGCTGCAAAGACATCTCGATATTCCAGCGTCCCTTGGGATTTCGGTGTCATATTTTTCCGTTCTCTGTTAAAAATAAAAAAAAAACACTTCCCAGATATTTAAATTTCAGTATTTACTTCATTTTGGCACCTGCAATTCGTAAACCGAATCTTTGCTGTTCCTTCTGCTGATAAGCGCACATTCTGTCTTCGGCACACAATATCTCTCACAGTTGCTTTAAAAAAAGAAACAGTTAACTACTACGTAAGAGGATAATAAAAGCAGATAACTACTACGTAAGAGGATAATAAAACTAGATAACTACTACGTAAGAGAATAATAAAAGTAGATAACTACTACGTAAGAGGATAATAAAAGTAGATAACTACTACGTAAGAGGATAATAAAAGTAGATAACTACTACGTAAGAGGATAATAAAAGTAGACAGGGGAAAGAGACTATGTCACTGCCATCATCTGTAAAATTAAATTCTTCATTATTTATTTTAATGTACCAGAACATTTTTATGGCCAGCCGCCAATATTCCATTAATGGATGTCTACCGCTGTCCAATAATCTGGCTATAATTATTCTAGGCTTAGTAATTCTGCCGTTATAATTAACTATAGACCAAAGAAGATGATTTTCTCGAATAGGATTAACGTTCTTTATTACCAATATTGTTTGAATTTTTATCTATCAGAAAATATTTTTTTATTTCAGCTGAAATATCTTTTTTTTTTAACTTTCAGCCCAAAATATTTTTCTTTCATAAAAAAAAAAATGAACGTCATTGTGGGCTTTGCTTTACAGACCACCATGCTTATCTTGGTTGTCAAACTGAAAACGTTTCAGCCATTATACTTTCTGGCCTTCTTCAGCACTCAGCCTTCGAACTCAGTAAACTCCTCCGAATTTCGAACCGAACAATTTATTCAATTCACTGAAGCAGATTGTTCTTATGCCGGGCTTACGGCCACATTATGCCGACACACTGGTTCCCGTAGGATCACCGAAGTTAAGCAACGTCGAGCATGGTCAGTACCTAGAGGGGTGACCGCTTAGGAATACTAGGTGCTACAAGCTTGGATGTGCACGTTGTGTAATGGATAATTGCTTGGAAGTTCCAATTCCCGTTAGGTTCGTTATATTCACTTTCGCAGAAATACTCTCAAGAACAACATGAATCCCTCTCTTCTCCCCCAGCTATGGGTTAATTAGTAAGACATATATGACTAAAACCATTATTACCTATAAATAATTCTTACAATCGAAAATATCATCTAACTTCAAATAACCGGCAAGGGCTTGCAAAAAATGAACCAATCGATCATGTTCTTCTTCGCTTTTCTATGTTCAGGGGAGATAACTCATATCAGTAAGAGGAAATAACTCATATCAATTAATATTCATCAGTCTTATTCGCCTTTGTGTCAGTTTTCTGTTTGCTCCACTGAACAATAGTATGCGAATTCTTATCACTGCCAAACTGAAGGATTGAATCGATTACTCCCAGAAATCTATAGATATCTTTAACAACACTTTTATGTTCCGGATTTTTGCTATAAGACTCATGACATAGTTTACTAAGTAAAACATAGATCAATGGTTAAAAATGTGCAAGAAGTCTGTAGATCAAAACGATGGCCATTCGTCTTCGAACCTCGTTGACTGGCGCTATATAATAGCAAAGAAAGAATTGAACCAAATTACAGAAACTACATCACTTGAGGAATTTTAACAGCAGCAACAACTAAAGTGGTTGGCACATTGTTATATACCGTACCTATGAACACTAATAAGTATGTCCCAATCCTCATAAATACGTCGGACACTATTGTAAGTGGTGGGTAATATGCTGTCTACGTAGTGCACCACTAGCAGTGGTTTACCTACTTCACGCCGCTGGCGAGTATAGCATTTTGTTGATGTTATAAAGATTGCTATTTCATTTCTAACCACCGTTTCGGTTATTCCTCATTCAGTAACCCTTTCTAGGTTGCAACACACATGTAACTGGAGAAGAACATTTTTTTCACCCCAAGCAAGGCGGGAAGCCAATAGAACGCAAGGGGTTACAGAAAATTTGGAGCAAGATCAGATAGGAGTGATAGAAGAAAGAATGAGGAGAAGGGTAGTGGATAGATCAAGGCAACTGGAGATGTCGACTGACATTAGATTTGAATAGCTGGAAACTGGAGTAGGGAAGGGAGTTCCACAGGCGAGAGGTACGAGACATGAACCTATTGGGGTAGAAGAGACGGCTACATTTAGGAGTTTCGACAGTGAAAGGGTGAGAGTGGGATGCCAGCCTCGTAGGGCGCTTGAACTCATGAAGTCTGAGAACCAGCGAATGCAGCTCCTCAGAGCAATTGCCATGAAAGTATTTGTAAAACAGACAGAGAGAGGCGACGGCGCGTCTGTGAGAGAGTGACTGTAGACGAGATGCCAGAGCAGGGCCAATTATATTGCATATCCGCCTCTGGAGCCTATCAAGAACCCCGAGGCAAACAGACCATATATGGCAGCAATACTCCATGCAAGGGCAAATTGTTGATTTGTAGATCCGGAGGATCGATTCCGGGGAGAAAAATTTCCTGGCGCGGCACAGGGAGCCAACTTTCCTTGCGGTGGACGAAGCAATTGACTCAATGTATTTGTTCCATCTCAGGTCAGCAGTCAACGTGAAATCGAGCAGCCGCAGAGAGGTGCTCTCGAGAAGTTGAGCGTCAGACATTCTAATGGAGGGCAGGGAAGGATCTCTGTGGTGATTAATAGAGAGCAGTTTTATTTTAGAAGCATTAAAGTTGACCAGCCAATTCCTGCCCCAGTTCACAACCGATTGGAGGTCAAGATGTTAACGTTCCACGTTCAAAAGTATGTCATAATGACGTGCATAGGAGTTGTATGCAGACGAATTTCTAATATACAGCCATTTTTTTTTTTTACGATGTGATATGAATAAACGCACCAAAATGAATTATGGCTGTTAAAACACTGTTCTTATATTGTTACGATCTCAAGATCAAATGAGTGTCACAAAAATTTGATTGGTTGAGAGAAATCGTAAACACTTTTTCTCTGCGTTTTTTTTTTTTTTTTTTTTGCGTGCGTGTGGTGAGATTTTTATCCGACTGGGAGAAGTAGAGAAATTTGTGACACATATTAATGCAATTACAAATAACCAGTTGTTTGATAAGTTTTAAAGTAATTCTTTCTCAACGACTTCAGTGTCATTTGTTTTAACTGGCTAAGATTTGATTTTGAATTTATTTAACCTTTTCATCATCAAATTATAATGAATAGACATGATCCTTATGGTCTATATACTTTTCCTCTTATAAAGAGAGTTTCATAACTCTTGATTTCAAAGTTAAGCAACGTCGAGCCTGGTCAGTACCTAGATTAGTAGCTGTTTAGGGATACTAGGTACTGTAAGCGCTTGGTTATGCGGGTCGATAACGGTTCGGAATGAGAAATTTGAGAGCCGAGTTCGAATCCTAGTCGAGTCCGTTATATTAACTTATGCGCAAATACCCTCGGGAAAGGCATGAATCCTTGTATGAATTAAGTTTAAAAAAAAAACAAAAAAAAACAGGAGAAACCGGAACCTATAGCCTCGTAATCATTCAACCGCAAGCAGAAAATAATGGCAGTCTACTGCAGGAATTCTTTTGATTGAAAAGAATTCATGGATCGAATAGAGACACAATCACCCACGGTTGCATGGCACACAAAGAAGTATTTTTCTCAAAAACTTGCATTTTTGTCTGAATTCCTGGAATGATGAGTTATCATTAATTATACTATTTATATTTGGCAACTTTTTTTATTCTCCTCATTTTGTTATTATTCTCATTTTTGTTGTTTGTTCACAACATTTCGACCCTTGTGCTCCCCGGCCTTCTTCAGTTCTGAAATGAAACCTTTATTTAATCTACGTGTAAACTGTTTTTATGTCTAGGGATATCGTCTACTTCTTATTTTATTTAGTACTGTCCATTTATTGCTTGCCCGTTTCCAGTGAGTGCAAATACACACTGCCCGACCTAGGGATTGAACTCACAACCACTATGTCTCCAAATTCCCAAACAAACGCGTTTACTCACATTGTCCCTTAGGACAATTTTCTGTAGTAAACTTAAAGCCTTAGACTTAACCTGGCTGCTGATTAGGTTGCTTCTCGTGCTGACTGTAATGTTTTAATTGCTACTACTGCTAGGGTTGCTTTTTTTTCATTGATGATATCTGCAATTATCCTTGTTTCTATTACATGAAGTTGAGAAGTATTCAATGTGATGGCTATTTCTTTTGAAAAGTTAACAGATACAACGTTTCTGTTATTAGAAATACAAATATTTCAAAGAGACACAGTACATACACAAGGCTATTTCAGTATAAGATTTGATATTAATTGTTGTAACCTAGGGAAGATTGCTGAATAGAATAATCACACGAAGGTTGGTAATAAACGATAATACTTAGGACAAGAACAACACATATAAGATTCGCCAGCGGCGCGTAGAAGTAGTCAAGTGAGTCAAGTGAATTCCAAAATGTATCTCCAACTGCAGAATATCTATCAACTGCCCCAGAATAGCTGGAAATGAATATCCAACTGCAGGATATTTACCAGACACCACACGCGGTCAGATGTGGCACAAGGCTGAATTTAATGTGGGGTATCCGAGCCCGTAGGCTCGGCCAAAAATTCCCCGTATACCTCGTATAAAACGGGTTCGGATGGCTGTTTCCCGAGACCAGACTCTGCCCTTCGGCATAGCCTCATCTGGGGATCCTCTTTGCCCGGAGGTAGAGAGTTTGACCAGCACAGTTGGAGACGAATCTCCAGTTGCAGACCAACATACAGTATCTACTACTGTATTTATGTAAATACCCATTATTGTCCGTAGGTTTGCTACAACATTAATGAACACAAAATTATAAAGGGGTTGTCTCAGAAAGAAGAATGTAAATTCAAATTTTAATCCTTTCTACCTTACGAGTAACCAGTAAACTGCCATATTTAAATTTTTTTCCGCTTCGGCTTATTTTACTGCGATTCACATTCAGTTTGAGTCCTATTTCCTCTTTTTCTTTCCATCTTTCTTTCTTTCTCTCTTTTTATTTTTCATTTTCACTCTTTCCCTTTTCATTCTCTCTTTCCCAATTTCCTTTTTCTTCTTCTTTCTGCCTCTTTTATTTTCCGACATTCCTTCCTTTTTCTTTTTCATTTTTTCCTTTTGCCTCATTTACTTCCTTCTCTCTCTTTTCTTCTTTCCATTTGCGCTTTTACCTTTATTTCTTTCAATTCCTTATTTTAGTTTACCTCTACCCTTTCTTCTTTTTCTTCCATCTTTTCATTTGCCTCTTTCCTTTCCTACTTTCCTTAACCTCTCTCCCCCTTCTTTCCATTTTCCTTTTTTCTCTTACATTCTCTTACTTTATTTCCCCAAACTATTTCCTTTCATTCTCACCCTAAGACATTTTCTTTTTCCTTTTTCCGTTTTCTTTTTCACGTCCTTATCCCCCTTCTCTCTTTCCCCTTTTCATCTTTCTTCTTTCCTTTCCTTCTTTTCCTAACCTCTTTCCCGTTTTTTCCCTTTCTTCATTCCTTAAACTCTTTCCCTTTCTTCTTTCTCTTCCATCTTTCCATTTTCCTCTTTCCTTTTTCTTCTTTCCCTTCCTTCTTTTCTTAATCTTTTTCCCTTCCTTATTTCCCTTTTTCCTTTTTCTTCTTTCCCTTCCTTCCTTCCCTAAGCTCTTTCATTTTCTTTTTTCTTCTTTCCTTTTTTCTTTCTCTTCCATCTTTCCATGTGCCACTTTTTCTTCCTTCTTTCCTTTTTCTTTTTATTCTTTCCTTTTGTCTCTTTTTCTTTCTCACCTTCCCTTCCATCTTTCCCTTTACACTTTCCTTTTTCCTCTTTCATTCCCTTCTTTTCTTTTTCCTTCTTTTAAGTTAAGCAAAGTGTGAAGAAACAGGAAAAGTCTCGTTAAAACAAAGAAGGCTGAAATGCTATGTAATATACGTTCTCCGATATGGCAGTGAATTCTGGACAATTTCCTCACAGATGAAGAGAGGACTTGACGTAATAGAGATGTGGTTCTGCTAAGAATACCATGGATAGAGTACGTAAGTAATGATGAATTTTTAAGAAAAATAGAAACAAAAAGGGCATTTATACTTAAAATCAGAAAGAGACTTTGAAATTTCGATGATATATGACGGCGAAAAAGTGCTCGGAAAATCTTGCCTTCTGTTGTGGAGTGATTTCACAGTGGAGGCTTGTAGTTGTACTAAGTCGGTCCTAAAATAGGTCAGACGTACAAAACTTTGGGAAATTGATATAATAGGTATAACGCAGAGTAATCTAGTTGTGGTCGCTCATACTTTAGTATTCGACTAACTGTCGTCCGACATCGACTGACTCACCGACGATATTCAGTCACCCCACCCCACGAGGGCGTCATGTGGCACAAGGCCTTTTTAACGTGGGATCTCCGAACCCGTGGGATCTCCGAGCCCGTGGGCTCGGCCAAAAATATGCCCATTGAACCCGTATAAACGGGTTCAGGGTCGGTTTACATCCCCGAAAGAGAATCCGCCCTTCGGCGTAGCCTCCTTCGGGTTCCTCCCTGCCCGAAAGCAGAGAGTTCAACCGAGCAGTCAGTCGACTGACTCACCGACTGACTCGTTACTCTTACTACTCCTACTTATTATAGGTGGGAGTGTCTATTAACTATAGAATATTATAGGTGGGAGTGTCTATTAACTATAGAATATTATAGGTGGGAGTGTCTATTAACTATAGAATAGGTGTGTTCCACCATAACACCTTCATAAGGCATATTGAATGCAAGAAGGATAAACAGAGAATAACTTACCTAAAGGGTTTGTGTGAATCGATAGGAGGGAGAGGGATAGTAAAAAGATAAACCTTACTAAAAACTACAAAGGATGGGATGTTGGGAAGAGCCATGATCACTCACGATCTGAAGAGACGACACATAAAATATGAAGATTTGCAAATAAAAGTGAAAGGTTTCGCGCGCATTTCATTCGCGTTTCCCATTTGATGTCTTTGAGTTTCATTCCTAGTAAGAGATTTTTACCAGAAAGAGATTCTGTATGCGCCCCACAACACCAAAAAAAAGAAGCGATTCAGATTTCTTTAATATTTCTGGATGCATCCATCGTCCAAGCTTTATGTCTCTTTTTCTTAGAACAAATCATAAAAGATTCCACAGAACAATGCTCATTGTTGCCCAACGATGTTTTGAATAATATTATCACACTATCATATAGAGCTGCTGTTCGAACCATTAACGACAAGGCATGGTTGTCTCTGTGTCATATTTGCACTTATGGTGGACATATTATAAAATATATAAAATTATATAATTACCCGGCTGAATGCTTACAGATATAAATGGATTTGGGAGATTCAAAACCAGCATTACTACAGTGAGATATTTGAAATCACAACAAAATGTTTTTTTTCTTAATATTTAGCAAGTGGCGAGTCAAATTTTCATGATTAGTCAAATAACTTCCTGGCTGACGACCATATCACATTGAAACACCAGTTCCCATACGATCATCGAAGTTAAGCAACGTCGAGCATGGTCAGAAACTAGATAGGTGACCGTTTGGGAATACTAGGTAGTGTAATCTTGGATGTGCAAGTTAATTGTTAATCGGAAAACCAAGTATGAATTCTCCTCTTCTCTCCCCAATATGGGTTAATTAGTAAGACATACATTACTTGCATATAAAATTCTTACAATCTAAAAATACTTTCTGGCTTTAAATAACCTGCAAAAGGTTGATAAACCGTAGAAAACAAATGACTTAAGTAACTTCCTGAATGCCTCTGTCAAGTAATTACAAAGTGTTTCTGGTCTTCGTCAATATTTTTGTGAATTACAAGTGCACGACCGTAAAGTAAACACTAGCTGTATTAACTGTGGTAGAAATCTATGCAAAGATCACAATAACGATCTTGTTCATTGCTTGGAAGGAAAAAACAGTTGAAGAGGGTGGCAGGTTGATCATAAATTGTTTTAAAAAGATCGTACTGAAAATATAATTTTTGCATATTTGATTTTTTTTATGATAAAACTTTTAATTCGATTTCTCCAAATAAAAACTTTTTTTCATTTTTAGCCATCCTATAATCATGAAAGTCGTTTTGGGCATTTCGTCTTGGAGTAATAGTAAGTAAGCTTGTCTCGCTAGATCAATTACGACTGAATAGGGAGTTCGATCCTCACTAGGTGTTCTATACGTTCAGCTTTGTGCCACATGTCATCTACTCTTAGAAAATCATCATATCTGGACACCTCGAGATGGTGTAACGGTTAGCAAACTTGTCTCGTGACTGTATGGTGACTTCGATCCTCATTGGGTGCATCATACTTTCTGCCTTGTGTTATATCAAAGATACGCTTAGTAAATCGCTGTAATTTTCTAACCAGTCCTGATGAATGGTTTCACTCTCAAAGCGGTTCATCCCAGAACTTAAATGAAACTCATATATATGATCCATTGCTAAGGATTCTGGAAAAATGGTTGGCTTATACTTCTCCAGAAAATACCTAACTCGACCTGAAATTCTCTTTCATTACAATAGACAGGTTAGACTAAAAATAACGTATAGCTGTCATATCTGGGTTGGTGCTACCCAATATCTCTTTCATGCCTTGACAGAGTTCAAAAGAGTTTGTAGATGATCAATTACTTGTAGGTGATTAATTATTTTCCACCCTACAATCCCTTCCTACAGGTGAAATAAATGATAATTAAGAACTAAATTATATATATATATATATATATATATATATATATATATATATATATATATATAAATATATATAAAAAAAGCATTCATAAAAGAATTAATTAGCAATGTTAATGGGATGGGAAAATCACTTCGCCAACAAGACTTCAAAATTTAAAGAAAATTCTCACTTGATTGATTTGAAGAAGAACTCTAGGGTCGCGGCATCACACACTCCAATACATACATTTAAGTGTCAATAAATAGCATTACTTTTTTTTAAAGTCTTTCAGTCTACACTACACATATTTTGTCTTAGTGTTTTCCTGTGTATGGAAAAATTGCGCTCCGAAGATGACAATGTGAAATTGTCGAAAGTACTTGGCCCGTTAATTCCATCTGACAACTGAAATACAAGGATGGTATTATTCAAGAAATTGACAGTAAGATAATGTCTCATTAAATCTTGTTAGCGAAGTGATTTCGGCATTAATCAAATTAACATTGCTAATTAATTTTTTTTTGCATAAATTGCTTCATTATGATATAATATATAAGCTGCACACTCTAATATATATATATATTTTTTACAGTGAACTAAAGAATATAAAACAGACACTTATTAATAATAGCTTTCCAAACTATATAGTTGATGAACAAATAAGATGCTTTCTTAGAAATCTCAATACTAAGCAAATAGTACATAATACTGCTTCTACTGATCTCAAACATATTAATCTCCTATATCGTAATCAAATGCATACTAATTATAAACAAGATGAAAATATACTAAAAAATTTAGTAAATACTAATATATCAACAACAGATCCTAGCAAAAAAAATTAAATTAATCATATACTACACTAAATCTAGTATATCCAACTTAATTCTTCGCAATGATTCTTCTCCCCCGGTTAGCGATTTGCAAAAAAACCAACATAGTTTATAAATTCAAGTGCCCTTCGTGAGATTGTATCTCCAACGAATTAAATAATATTTATGTTGGTCACACCACAAACTCGCTTTCACGACGCTTGACACTACATTTAAATGAAAACTCTAACATTTTTAGGCATTTAAAACAACATGCCTGCCCGCACACACAATTCCGTAAAATACTTGTCGAAAACACAATTATACTTCGACATGAAGACAGTAGACAAAAGCTAAAAATCCTTGAAGCATTATACATTAAACAGTTGAAACCCAACCTAAACAAAATCAAATATGGAATCTCTACAAATATCCTTAAATGTCTGTAGTTGGTGACGGAGGCCATTGGTTTGTGCCAATGATTTCCCATACTTCATACTTCTCCAATTCACTCTCGCGTGGTCATGTGTGACGTCATGAGACGCGGTGCGATTTTCGCTTCTAGCGTCTTATATGCACGTTTATCGTTGCTTAGAGATCATCTATGTAAACATTCACAGACTGTCATCACTGTCTTGTCCGTATATTGCTTAATATGTTGTAATTGACATCTTTGATAATGGCTTATGTAAGCCGAAAGCTTAGATTGTATTAAAAAAATATGGATCAATATTGTGAATTTCTTTCTTCGTTCAATGATAATGTTATTAAACTTATTAGACATTATGAAAAAATTTACATAAAATAAATAGACAACACTATATTATTTAATGAAACGTGTATGAATATATATATATATATATATATATATATATATATATATATATATATATATATATATTACGGATTTCATTATTAAAAACAACCTACGTAATGCCTCGGATTTCAACAAAGGATACTTTCAGGGTCTAATTACAGCCACACTCAAAAATCTAATGAAGCAACATTTCTCCGCAGATATATGAAATCCCTGAAAAAAATATAAAATAACAAAAACATTTATATATCTTCTTCCACAAAGGGGGTGAGATTATAAATATGGACAAACACATTTATCAACAAAAATGGAGAATTCTTCTCGAAGATTATAATATTCATGAATGAATACGGGAACACAAGGTTATAAAAGAAACACTAAAATTTAAAAACGAAACAAACAAATTATTTAAAAATTTAACAAAGTTCCTCAGACATCACCAGAAAACACCCATACTCTACGAATTACCAAGAATACATGAACTAGATATCCCGATGAGACCCATTATATCAAGAATAGGTAACGCCCTACATAAACTAACCGGCACACTAACCAAATCTTGTAACACCACTTCTTGGTACAATTAGCTCCTCGCATATAAAATAACTTTCTGGTTATCTTTTAAATAAATAAAAAAAACATATAAAAAACAAATATATGAACAGTTTAGATATAAAAGCTTTACATACAAATGTTCCCGTAAAGAAATGTCTAAATTTGCTAAAAACACACCTGACAAAAACAAAACTTATATTTTCCCGCAAATAAGATAAAAATGTGTCATTAAATCATAATCAATGTATTTTCACTTTCGATAACAATTTTTATAGACAGAAATTTGGCCGTCCTGGGTATGACGATAAACTGCATCCGCGTCCTGGGTAAGACAACAAACTACATCCGGCAGCAAAGCGTCTTTTCAGGTTTTGAGGGCCGTGGAACCACCTCTTAATTGCTGGTGTTCCTAGGTCCACCCAGGCCTGGTGTGGTAGCACCTGTTAGGGTCCCAGCTAAGGGCAAATAGTTAACCCCCAAACCGTCCACGCCCTAGGTAAAACGGTAAATTACATCCGGCGTTCTGGGTAAAACGATAAACTACATCTGCGTCCTGGGTAAGTCGATAAACTACGTCCAACAGAAAGGCCTCTGATCAGATTTTGAGGAGCGTGGAACCACCTCTTAATTGTTGGTGTTCCCAGATCCATCCTGACCCGGGGTGGTAGTACCTGTTAGGGTCCCAGCTATGGGCAAATAGTTAATCACCAAACTGGGGTCATGAAAGTGTAAAAGTAGGTTTTAATGCCAGCAATATTTTTTGAGGAAAAATTATTACCAGCAAAACATTATTACCAACAATAGTTTTCAAGAAATATTAAATTTAAATGAAATTATAAATTTGGTAATTGCTAGTAAGAAATATTACCAGCAATACATTTTTTAGGAAAAATATTATCAGCAATAGATTTTTGAAGAAAAAAATATTACCAGCAATACATTTTTATAGATAATTATTACCAGCATTACATTATTATCAGCAATACATTATTGAAGAAAAAAAATATTACCAGCAATACATTTTTGAAGTAAAAAAATATTACCAGCAATAGATTTTTGAAGGAAAAAAATATTACCAGCAATACATTTTTGGAAAAAATATTACCAGCAGTAAAAATGTTTTCGGTCTTCAATAACCCATTGAGGCTGATATGACATAGAACAAAACAAACCAAACCAAACCAGAAATTTGATTTACCGACGGGGTCTTCTCTTAGTGGCGTTTTGGCTTGTCTATTTTTCGATTTTTTGAAAAGTGGTCCTTTCAAAATTATTCTACCACAAAATTCTTCTTATTTCACATACATAGATGATTCTCGATTTATATATTCACAAAACAGTTTCACTCGTTCTTGTCAACATATTTATAATGTCGAACCCACAACAGATTTTACCTTTCCTGAAAGGAATACTAGTTTCCCAAGCCAACATAGATGACTATAAAAATATTTAAAAAATTCAAAGAAAACTGTTAAATTAATAACTTTTTATTTAAAATATATAACACATAAATTTATCCCATACTAAAATAATTTAAATATTAACTGCATAAAAAATTTAATAACATCATTTACTCGCTTTCCTTTATTAGAGATTAAATTAAGTCACTTAGCATCTTCCATAATTTACCTCGACTTTTCAGTTAACCTGATGAATATTTATGAGAGTCTATTGAATTTAAAAATTTTGAAAAACTATCAACATTTT